AAACCACCCTGCAATGAGACAATGATCACAAGACCCAGTGAGGATGATGCACTGGAAGTAGAAACAGCAAAGAACAAGCTCAGACCACTGAACCAGCTGCTGAATGAACCTGAAACTGCTTCCATGAGTTTAGAGCAGCTCTTGGCAAGATGCAAGTTGATACATGCAGAATATTAACGATACCTGAATAAAATGAACACAAGGAGTACGATCATACTAAAGCGTGATCCAAAAGACTCTTGGATTAATGGATATAATCCACATCTGCTTGAAGCCTGGAACAGTAATATCGACATAAGCTTTGTTCTAGATGCTTTCGGCGCTGCAAATTATTTAATGAAATATATATCAAAAAAAGAGGGCGGGCTATCTGAGTACCTGAAAACTGTCATTGAGAACTCCCATAAGGACAGTGTAAATGAGTGCGATGAAATGTGAGCCGTCATGCAGGCATATTCAAAGAAGCGAGAGATCAGTGCACAGGAGTGTGTTGCTCGTGCATGTGGTCTTCACATGAAGCAATGTTCACGTGCTGTAATATTCATACCAACTGATGATAATCCTGTGAAAATGAGTCGTCCCCTGTCAGTTCTGGACAACACAACACCCGAGTCTTCCAATGTTTGGATGACATCTTTGAATGACAAATACAAAGCCAGACCTGAAACACCCGAGTTTGAGGAGATGTGCATGGCAGACTTTGCTGCTACTTGCAGGATTGTCTATGGCCAACAGACAAAAGGTAAAGATGTTTTGCCCCTTCTCAATGAGATAGGATTTGTGCAAAGGCGCAAAAACGATAAGCCTGCTATCATCAGATTTCACCGCTGCTCACAAGAAAAACATCCAGAGCAATATTACGGAAGACTGCTTAAACTGTACCTCCCTCATCGTTCAGACCACGAACTGAAAACACCATCGTTGCCAACCTATCAGGCTTTCTATGGTGCTGGCTGTGTACAGCTACCAGGTACTGACTGTCTTGAGTACGTGCAACACATTGTCAAAAGAAACAGAGACAAATATGAAAAAACAGTGAGGAGATCGAGAGTGCTGTTGAGGAATATGAGCAGAACAGAGGTGTGACTGACGAATGGTGTAATCTGGCACCTGAATCAGATCTCGTAAGGTTGCCACT